CTGTCTACATCTTGTCCAACCGGCAGGACAGAGCCACCAGAGCTAACAGCACAGTAGAATACAGTCAGGAGGGAGTTATCCCCAACATTGACTCTACACTTCCTGATATAACCTGGCTTCAGGTCTAACATGGGCAAGGAAACCTCTTACTGATTATCACCTGCCACCACCCCTCAGCTGGTGCATCAGCACCAAACAGTAAAAGCAGCATGTGATAGGGTCAAGCAATTCCACAACTAAAGTTCACATCTAAGCTCTGTAGTCCTGTCACATCTAGTCATGAAAGGTAGTAGACAAATAACAGTAGGAGATAAATGGAAATTGGGGAGCTGGCTCAATTAGTTGAGTTATACCTAGAACAAAGGGAGATGGCTGTGGTTATTGAAGGTCAGTCATCTCAGCTCTAGAACATTACTAGAGGGTTCCTCTACATTGTTCCAGAGGCCCAACCACCTTCAAGGGCTTCATCAATAAACTTCGTTCCATCATGAAAGGGGATGTTCACTGATGATTGCACAATATTCAGTGGCATTTGTCATCCCTCAAACACTCATGTCCAAATGCAGCAAGATCTGGACAAGCAGGCCATTGAGAGATTAAAGGCCTGCAAGATTAGCAGTGAAGTTTAGCAGTCTCCAAACAGAGTCAAGGCAGAAGAAAAGTCCTTGAGTGGCTTGCAGGTTTGTAACAGAAAAACTCCGGAAAACAGATGGCTTGAAAGGTGTCAGCGGAAGACATCCTACATGGCAGCTGAAAACATGTGTCCCTTAACTCCCCTTAAAGGAGAGCCTGAGCTGTACTAGTAACTTGTTTAAGTATCTCATGAAGAGACATTAACTAAAGAATACAGAATCACATAAATGCAAAGTCTGCGGAAGGAAACTGATTAGACTTGTGCCCACTGAACAAAAATTCTGAAAAAGAGTTGTGCTTCACTGACATGAGTATCATAAGACCATTGAGAATACAAGAGTTTAATCTATAGTAAAACCTTTCAACTAGTTATTCTAAAATGTAAAGGAGTTCATTCCTTTCCTTTTGAGTTTAATAAAACTTTCTTTTGTTAACAGTACATTGGCAAACTCTTGTGACTATGCTCAGTGACTGACCACCACAGTTAATAAAGTGCAAAAATAAAGCTTGTGGTTTACCAACCCAAGTTTCACTCTGGGATCTAATTTTACATTATTACCTTCACTGAGATAAAGATTCAGGCAATGACCATCTCCTTCAAAAAGGGAGCTAGCCACCTTCACTTGAAATGTAATCACGTTTTCTTTGCTGAATCCCCAACATTCTGGACACTACCATTGATCCTAACCTTAAATAGACCTGGCACATAAATACTGTGGCAACAAAAGCAATTTAGAGCCTGGAAATTCTGCGATGGATAACTAACCTCCTGTCATTTGAAAGCCTGTCAACCTTCCACAAGACACAAGTTGAAACTGGAATAGAATATTCTCCACTTAACAGATGAGTGCAGCTCCAACAACACTCAAGAAGCTTGTCACCATCCAGGCAAACCAGTCTGCTTGATTGGCACCACGAATACATAGGGTTACAAAATGCACTGCAGTAATTATCAAGTCTCCTTCAACAACACTACCACCTACAAGAACTCCTTCAACCCACTGAGTACTTTAACATTGAAGTATATCACCGATCCTTCGTGGACACTGGGTCAGCTTCCTTGAATCCCCTTCAAGCAACAAGGATGTCCCTGGGTAATAAATGCTGGCCTAATCAGTGGCACCCACATCGCATGAATAAATAAAAGAAAAGGAAACTTTGATCAAAAAGATTGGTTTTCACTGGGGCCTTTAAAGTTAAGGTGATAGAAAAGGGCAAAAGGGATTCGAGGAGACCATGCCAAAGTGAGCCTAAAGGCACCAAAGGTGCATAAATTGAAGGGTGATAGGGAAAAGCAATATGCTGCTGGCTAGGGTCAGAGAACCATTGCACTTGAAATAGAATGAAAAACAGTAGCATAATTGTAACTTTATGATGTAGCAAGGCCATTGTAAATTTGTAGCAGAGGACAAAAATGCTAAATTCAGCAAATTATCAAGTAGCCTGTGGAGATCAGCAAGGACATCGGAAATGGGTCAACAGAAACTGGTGCAAGAACAGTACAAACAGAATTTTGACAACAGTGGGAGTAGTCAAGAGGCAGAGGTGAGCAACACTGCAGCTGGAAGCAAACATTACTTAGATTGTGAGGTTTTACACACCCTGATATTAACTGTGCCAGTGGTCAGAACCAGAGCAGAAATCAATATCAAGATAGTAAAGTTATTGACGCAATTTGTAAACAGTGGATTCGGTCTTCCTAACATTCAACTGACTAAAATTTGAATCATTTGTACGTTTACATCACTCAGACAATCAATGTCACAGGACCAAGAGAAGTAGTGGAAAGTTGAGTTTAGTGCTTTTGATGTACTTATGAAGGCTGACCACATGTATCATGTTATCATGGAATGAGGAGTAGGATAAGAATGGACCCACAAGGAAATCAAATGGAATATGGGGTCAGAGAGATAAACAACTGAAGCAGCAATACTAGCAAGTGTGCTAAGTATTTGGAGGGGAGACAGAAGTTGCCAGAAGCTGAAAAGCAGAGGATAGATCATTCGGCAAAATGCATGGTTAAAACAGAGCCAGGAGAAAATAAGGATTAAGATAGACAAAACGGATTCAAACAGGGTTGGACAATATTCGTTTTGTTTCCCCTGCTAAGGTCCATAAACAATCTACAGACAGACAGTATACGAACAGAAAAGAAATAGACCAAAGGCAAGCATTTTGAAAAATACTGACGATAATGATTACTGAAGATAAAGGCAAACTTCTACTCTCTGAGTTAACTAGAACCATTAATAACGTTGATAAGAGTGCAGAGCAGAAAAGGACATTGACTAGTCAGAAGAGTGAAAAGAGATTTGAGGGAGAAAGAAGTCATTCTCATAGAAGGGTTTGAATCGGATGAGAAAGAATTATGGATTGACAGCCAATCAGGTGAGTGAAGGACCATGGATATTCAGTACCAAAATGACGTCAAGGTGAAGTTATTGAGTGGGGACTAGCAAAAAAGGTAGCAGCTTTATAGATTGTTCTTCCCTACGAGGAAAGCTATTATAATGCTGATATAACTTGGGTTTAATAGACCAATCTTCCATGTTATGATTTTAAAACAGTGAAGTAGCACATCAATAAAACTTCAATTTACCTTCTACTTTAAAGAAAGTATACAGCATTTAACACTACTGTAAACAGGATACTTGGTAAAGGGTTCAATAACTGTAACCTAACCCAGCAGGTGAACATGATATTTATAAGTCTAAGATATCTGAAGCCACCAATTAGATAATAACATTGCAACTCAATACCTATATTCATTACTCCACATGTATTCAATGTTGCTATTCCATTGTGTTTTTTAAGAGACTGAATATCTCATCAGCCCTACAAAACTGACAGATGACCAATTCATATGTTACACAGAAATATGAAGAGAAACAAATGGACACAACATTTTGTTAAACTCTCAGGACTTGGACCAAACATGCTGTTATTCCAAAGAGGCTCATAAAATTTGTCCATTGCTGTCATGAAAACCAAGTTTATACCATTGCTATTCCCACCTAAGGAGCCTTCAATTTTTGGCAGGAGCTCACCTGAGTCTATATGTAAACATTTTCTATTGATTTCACAACTTCATAACTGTGCTGAGTGATAGAAAAGACCCAACTACTCAGTTCAACTATCATTTCTGTGACACTTCTACAAATATCAGCAGATAGGAGAACAATCTCTGTACATCCAAGATGGACTCATTGGATAGAGATTAGGTGTAGGAATGATAATACTGGGTGTAAACTTCAAAAATAAATCGTAATCCAAATTGCTTATGAGAAAAAAAATCTCCCTAGACATATGCAGTCAAAAAACAATATACAGAAAACATAGGAGTGCTCACTCACCTGAAAAATAGGGGTTGACTTTTTTCACACTCCCTGCCTCAAGTAGAACAAACTAGCAAAGAACAAATCTTGCAACAGATATTTCCAAGAATGCTTGCAAGCTGATTAAAATTATACGCCTCATATAGGTATTAAATGTCCACAAATGTCCTTGTTCATTTTAGTTTCAAATTGTCATTCTCCTCTCCAGAGGTGAGAACCAGTGACATGATTGGGATAAGGTGTTGCATGTTGTCAGCAGCCCTTCAGTTACCTCGGCCAAGTGACATTTTTTAAGCATGGCCCAGGCAATAAGTATTGACACTATGGGAAGTGTAAACCGTTTGCCTTCGTCTGATGCACACGTCTGCCTCAGTCACCATGAGTCAATGAGCAAACTGAGAAGCTGGAACTCAGGCTGATCTTTTCCACCCGTCATCCAAAACCAATTTTACAGTCAGCTGGACAGAGATCTGCCAAGACTGATAAAGGAATCCTGGCACACATATGTGTGGTTTCATGCAACATCATCACCATGTGGATTTACTCACCCAACCATTGGCATAGTTTTATTTTTAATTCAAGATAATGAGGGCAGATCCACAATTTTGGCCACAAAATAAGCGCAAATATTGCAGAGTTGGTAACATATCACAAAGGATACACACAGTACCTATTGCACTTAATTTCAACCCCAACCCTCCCATAAACTTCACAAGCAAAATCGTGACCACTCCCACATTATAAAACCGACGGGTGCAAATAATACGACCCGATCAGCAGCAACGAAAAAAAAATTTGGAGATCACCCAGCTAGCCACATCACTGCTGTTCAGGACAATTAACAAACTCCATGGGATTTTAAACAATACAGTTTGTGCCACACAGACCAAGGGATCGCAAAGCAAATGAAGAACTAAATGCGGTACAAATGAGCCAAGAGAACACAAAAAGGAACGCAAGATGTGGGGGAAGCCAGAAGAAGTAATGGATTTACATCTTAAAGCGAACAACGGAGCAGGGACCGCTACTCACCAGACAGGCTGCCAAGAGCCGGGAGACATAAGAGCAGCGAAGCCACCAACGAGAAGGAGCTGTAGTTGCCGACGAGACGTCTCACCGAGTGTCCGTACCCCGTGTACAGGGGACAGAGCCGCCATCGCCGCCGATCAGCGACCCCTTCCATAGTTCTTCCCCGGTGGCTCACTCACTCACTCACATTCACACTACCTCTCCCTCTCCCTCTCACATCGGAAAGATCGCGCAAGCGCAACCACCACTTCAGGAATCTAGCGGCGCGCGGGCGCGCTCGCGAGCACCTAAAACGTCATCCCGAGCCCTCCGCGCGCACTGGCTGCCGCCAATCCTTGTTCCTTCTTCGCCCCGCCCCGTTTCTCCCCCCTCCTGCCCGCAGAATCTGTCCACTCTACCCTCCCCCCTCCCGCCCCTGAGCTCGCGGCGTTTCCCGCCTCCACGGCTGGACTGTTAGGCACGTGCCTTTCGCTTAAGGCGGGTGTGGAGGCGCCATATTGGAATTGTGAGTCGGGGCAGTTGAAACACTCAAGGATGGCAGCGGGCGTGATACCACCTCAGCCGATCTCTTGTTTTTTTTGTGTGTGTGTGATCTGTGCAAAGTCAGCACTTTTCGCCTGACCCTAATCATCTTTGAACACGGTGTAGAGCGCAGTTAAGATCCAACCACATTGCTTTGGATCTGGAGGCCAGACCAGGTAAGGACGGCAGATTTCCTTCCTGAAGGGGCGCTGGTTGGGTTTTACAACAATCAGCAATGGGCGCTATTAGGCATTAGAGTAGCTTTTAATGCCAGTTTTTTTAAAAATTGAATTCAGATTTCACTATTGGATCCCAGAGTATTAGTTTAAAGTTCTGAATTACGGGCACAGTGAAATTACTATTCAGCCAATGTATTCACTTCACCCATTCAGAGAGATGATACAATCTACGCCAGTTGTTCAAGAATAATGCCAAGCTTCTTGTGAATGAGTGTACCAAAATTCACTGGACTCTGGGGTGGTTCCCGCAGAGTGGAAAACAGCCAATGTGATGCCACTGTTTAAAAAAGGAAGTAGACAAAACGCAGGTGACTATAGGCCAGTTAGCTTAACTTCAGTAGTGGGGAAAATGCTTGAATCTATCGTTTGAGGAAGAAATAGCAAGACATCTGGATATAACTTGTCCCATTGGGAACACCCAGCATGGGTTCATGAAGGGTAGGTCATGTTTAACTAATTTGGTGGAATTCTTTGAGGACATTATTTGCATGGTGGACAATGGGGAACCTGTGGATTTCTGGAAGGATTTCCAGAAGGCATTTGACAAGGTGCCACATCAAAGGCTGCTACGTAAGATAAAGTTGCACGGATATTACAAGTAATGTATTGGCATGGATAGAGGATTGGTTGACTAGTAGAAAGCAAAGAGTAGGGGTAAATGGGTGTTTTTCTGGTTGGCGGTCAGTGGCTAGTGGTGTGCCTCAGGGATCAGTGTTGGGACTGCAACTGTTTACAATTTACAGTTATGATTTGGAGTTGGGGACTAAGTGTGGTGTGTCAAAATTTGCAGATGACACTAAGGTGAGTGGTAGAGCAAAGTGTTCAGAAGACGCTGAAAGTCTGCAGAGGGATATAGATAGTCTAAGTGAGTGGGCAAAGGTCTGGCAGATGGAGTACAATGTTGATAAGCATGAGGTCATCCATTTTGGTAGGAATAACAGCAAAATGGACTATGTTTTAAATGGTAAAAAGTTGCAGTATGCTGCTGTGCAGAGGGACTTGGGTGTCCTTGTGCATGAATCGCTAAAAGTAGGATTGCAGGTGCAGCAGATAATTAAAAAGGCAAATGGTATTTTGTCTGTCATTGCTAGAGGGATGGAGTTTAAAAACAGGGAGGCTATGCTGCAGCTGTACAGGGTCCTGGTGAGACCACACCTGGAGTACTGTGTGCAGTTTTGGTCTCCTTACTTGAGAAGGGATATACTAGCACTGGAGGGGGTGCAGAGGAGATTCGGTTGATTCCAAATTTGAGAGGGTTGGATTATGAGGAGAGACTGAGTAGACTGGGATTATACTCATTGGAATTCAGAAGAATGAGGGGAGATCTTATGGAAACATATAAGATTATGAAGGGAATAGATAAGGTGGAGGCAGGGAGGTTGTTTCCACAAGCAGGTGAAACTAGGACTAGAGGGCATAGCCTCACAATAAAGGGAAGCAGATGTAGGACTGAGGTCAGAGGAACTTCTTCAGCCAAAGGGCTGTGAATCTGTGGAATTCCCTGCCCAGTGAAGCGGTTGAAGCTACCTCGCTGAATGTTTTTAAGGCAAGGCTAGATAAATTTTTGCATAGTAAAGGAATTAAGGGTTGTGGTGTGCGGGGGCATAAGTGGAGCTGAGTCTCAAAAAGATCAGCCATGATCTTATTGAATGGCGGGGCAGGCTTGAGGGGCTGGATGGCCTACTCCTGCTCCTAGTTCTCATGTTCTTATATTCTTGTCTCTGTTACACTATGTGACTACTTTTCCTTTACCAAACCCTATCATGTCATTTTCCCTTCCTTTGCTTACTTTTTAACCATGTTTGATGACATATTAGTTAAATAGACATTTAAGCAATTTGTTACTTTAGTGGAGATGGAAATGTTAATACAGTAGGTACTCTATATACAGTGTTAGGTAAACAGAAATGCACATTATGCCTTGCTTATATCTGACTAATCTCTGATACACTATGAGAAAACAGAATTTGATTTGGAGATGCAGTGGTACTCCCACGAAGTGGCATGCTGATGATTTGCTGTTGAGTTTCATGCATAAGCCAACAACCATTAATTGTGGTCCAAAGAATAATCAAATCCATGAAACCAATTCTACTTGAGTTGACAAAAAATATCCAGGAAAATAGTTATTTACTGTAATTATTGTATTTTCAGTACCTAAATTAGAATCTCCATGAAGCCAAGATATAAATGAATAAATCAGGTGGGCAGAGAAATGGTAAGCAGAATTCAATCCAGGAAAGGGTTGGTAATATATTTGTAAAGACAAAACAAGGAAATGCACAATGACTCATAGAGTCTGTGTAGTGCAAAATACATGGATCTGCATTGACACTCCAAACAGCATCCCGTCCAATCCCCGTAACCCCTGCATTTACGGTGCTAACCCACCTAACTTGCACATCCTTGGACTCGGGGCAATTTAACAGGGCCCATCCGCCTAACAGCACATCTTTGGACTTTGGGAGGAAGCCAGAGCACCCAGCAGAAACCCACACAGATACAGGAAGAGCATTAAACAATTGCCGAAGGCTGAGAGCGACCCAGGTCTGATGGTGCTGAGGCAGCAGTGCTAACCACTGTCCTGTCCTAAGTGCCATCATTATAGCTTTGTTACAGTTTGATTGGGCTGTAGATTTACAGTTTGATTACAAGCTCAAAGAAGTTATGAAAGGATTAACTATTGTCACAACTCATTGGGGTAGTGTATTGGAAATCAAGCCTTGCTATTCCTGGTGTTGTCACAAAACTTAAAGATTTCAAAAAAAGGGCAAAATACCCTGATTTACATGTCTTTTAGACCGGAGTTGACAGCATGTTTTCTGTGCATCATAAATAAATACATTTTAATCCAGAAAGAATTACGAACTGTCAACACGTTATTCTACTCGTTAAAACTTTACCCTGCACAAACATACAGAGACACAGTAAAGATAAAGAAAGGATGTGATGACCGGAAGGAAAAACTGGGAAGGCACTTCAATGGTCTCAGTTGACAGGGTCCACTGAGATGGACATCAAGACATGCTGCTTTCCAACTGTCTCTCAAGAAACCCTCATTGCTTGCGGAAGATATAGACCACAGCAGCCACCAACGGAAAAACAAACTGGCTTTCTCCGGGCTCGCGGTGGTCTCCAAAACAGAGGAAAATAGAGAGCCAGTGACTTTTTGGAGATCTAATGGCGTCTACCAGATATTCACTCGCCCACCCATCAGCAGCACTACCACCAAAAGCTGTTCAGGTACATGGGTTGGACTGGGGTGGACAAAGTCAAAAGTCGCACAACGCCAGGTTATGGTCCAATGGGTTTATTTGAAATCACAAGCTTTCGGAGTGCAGCCCCTTTGTCAGGTGCAGTGAGAGGAGGGCACACAGACACTGAGTTTATAGGCAGAGAGCTGAAGGGCAGAGAGATCAAAGGCTCATACAACTAGTGTGAGTGGAGTGAACAAACCTAACATGGCTGGCTGACTGCCGCCTGTTGAATCATTCCTGCATTCTAGAAATTGAAAAAGCAGGATGTGGAGCACTCTTAGAAAGGAGACGCAAGTTTCGATCAAGATGCAAATTCCAGAATCCGTTTCAAGTCACTCCCCTCTGGAAGGCCCCTCCCCAGGCTTGACATGTATGCTCAAGCCGTCAGGAGATGCGTTAGTGCCAGATTCGTCAGCTGAACTCAGAAGATAGCGCAGAATGTCATCTAAGCACAGCGCAAAGCCAACCGTGCTCAAGACCAATCACAACATTATCGTCAAATCAGTAGACAAAGGAGGAGCCATTGTCATACAGAATATAACGGACAACAGCAAAGTAGTACAACAACAACTGAACAACCAGGAACATTACAGACAACTACCTGCTAATCCAACTAAAGAACACACCCATCAACTCAACAGACTGATCAAGACTTTTGATCCAGTCCTTCAGAGTATCCTTTGCACTCATCCGGCATAGGGGACTTCTGCTGCCTTCCAAAGATACACAAGGCCAACACACCTGGACATCCCATCGTATCAGGCAGTGAGACCCTGTGTGAGAGCCTCTCTGGCAATGTCGAGGGCATCTGGAAAACCATTATACAAGGAATCCCCAGCTTCTGTCGTGACACTACAGATTTCTGACAGAAACCCGGCACCCACGGACCACTCGAACAGAATATTCCTCATCACAATAGATGTTTCGGCACTCTACAGCTGCATCCCCCACAATAACAATATGGCTGCAACAGCCTAAGTACTGAATACCAGCAACTGCCAATTTCCAGACGCCATTCTACAATTCATCTGCTTCATCCTTGCCGACAACACCTTCAACAACCAGTTCTTCATCCAGACGCACGGAACAGCCATGGGGACTAAATTTGCACCCCAATATGTGCAAGAAAATATTGACAAGTTCAAGCAGGACTACTTTGCTGCGCAGAACCTCCGACTAACATTATA